TAGTAGTCGTGGTAGTGGTAGTGGTAGTGGTAGTAGTGGCAGTAGTACGTAGGTGAAGCAACAGCAGCAAGAGTAGCACAGTAGTGGCGACCATCATCGTCATCATGCGGATAAACTGCCCGAGCGACCTCTGCAGACACGGACTGCCTCTGCTTGCGCTGCACAGGCGGCCTGCAGCGAGCTAGAAGGTCAGACTCTACCTAAACCCTAAACCTGCTTCGCAGGTCAGGTTGCGGCTCTGAATCTTGAGGACACAGACATTTTTGCGTGTGCGCCACTGTTCAACTGACTTCGGAGTCCTTTTGCTTGTGAAGGTCGAGTGTGCTGCGGCTGCAAGGGCGAACGAATGCCGTCGTTCAATCAAAAGGGTTTTAAGTTTAGGGTGTTTCTGTGGTCGTAACCCCCGGGAGTACGCTTGCGTTGAGAAACCTCTGACTTTGCTCAAGTGCCCCTGCCCTGATTAAAGGAAACTACAGGTGGGGAGTTTTGGGTATATAGGGCTTCCACAAGGCTTCTATAAGGTATATAGACCTTCGAGAAGGCTCCTATAACGGTAACTACCCACCAGAAAAATGTCCTAGACTTGACACTAACGAAATTAGAAACAGAACCAAAACTTTGTGCACCATAATATCAAGGTTCTGCATTTCCTGGTTGGCACCACGCACCAAACACAAATAACCCAAAACCACAAGACCTATCTGTAACACCTGCCAATCTTCGCCAAAAGACGGAGGAGGCAGATCTGGGCCCTCATCGTCACCCCCACTGTCCTGCATGACGTCAGGCCCAGAACCCTACGAATAGGAACCTTGATAAGTATAACAGGGTTCCTTGAAAGGGATCCTTAAAGGGTTCTATAAGGGATCTATGATAAGGTTCTATATTAGGGGCCTTAATTAAAAATTAGAATAGGGTTTTGCGGCCCAGTATACTATTTTTATGATAAGGAACCCCCAAACCAATATAGGTAATTACTCAGGCCACTCTATTAAGCCCTAAACTTTAGACTTTCCGGGCTCAGGGTGGAGCTGTGATCTACGTAGGATCTTGACGCTCGCACTCACAGCTTAGGCTTTCAGGGCTTACCTGGGACTCCAAATTACCTTCAGTTTTTTATGGGTTCTACCTACTAATTAAGGGGTAATGGCTGGTAAACTGTAGGTAAAGAGAGTTACAGGTATGGGATTATAGGTCTAGCGGCGACTATTGCAATTGCTAAAAGACATGGCTGCTTGACAGCATGGTCGTTCTCACAACGATGGCCGGGTATAACATACTATGCTACAGTATGCTCTGATATAATAGGCTATGATCGAATATAGTATGACATAACATACAATGACAGCATATACTGCTGTCGTCCTCATCGCTGTCAGCTGCTGCATCTTGCTTCGGCTTCGGTTCCTCGGCGGGGAGGATGGTGCCAGCCGTCTCCTCAGCAAGTGGGTCTTCAAGGGTTCAGCTGCCTAGTGCTTGGAGTGTGCCGGCCTGGGGGGTGTAAGGTTTAGGGTTTAGGATTCTGGGTTTGGAATTTTTTGAACAAGGATGTGGGGTTTTATGTGGGGCTTCAGGCTTCACGACCTAAATACCAAAGAGCTTACTGCAGCTCTTACTACTTCTACCTGCAGTTGCTTTGCTGTCGCAGTAACTTCAACATCTCTTCGTCTGGCTTTCTAGGAAACCGATCTAAGCTAGCATTCAAAACAGAATCCGAGCTTGATCCCCGTTTGAACCCACAAAGCAGACAACATCGTTCCCTGCAGCCGAAGCAAAGCGCAGGTATATGTGTGCAATAGTCAGGATCTAAAGGTAAGCCGTGAGGAGTAGTTTTAAAAAACATGGTGCTCCATGACTCTATAGTCTATAGTAGCGGAGCCATCGTTGGAGGTTCGAAAATGAATTTCGGGTAGCCGCTCCGAGACTTTGTTGCAGGAGCCATGCCATGGGTTGTCTGCCAAGCGGGGGCTTAGGATTTAGGGTTAGGGCTTTTAGGGTCTAGGGTCTAGGGGTCTAGGGGTTTAGGGTTTAGGGCTTAGGGGATAGGGATTGCCATTACGCCTAAGGTAAACTTGGAAATCCTGTTGCATTTTTTGCTGTTCGCCTAGATTCCAAAAAGCCCCAAGCCCATACGCAGTATGGAAAGACAGTTTCGCCATGGGGCCCCGTCAACAAGATCGTAGTCGGTGCCCTGGCTGTCCTTGCAGACCGCCTTCAAGGCACAAAGATGAAGGGTTGTTCTATGGGATACTAGGGGGTTCTACAAACACCCCATAAAAGGTTCTATGAGGGTTGCTACAACGGTTTACTAGAAGCCTACTAGAAGGGGCCCATAAAGGTTACCATAATGCTCAGTCTTGTCGGGAGTCTTACACACCATAAACCCTAAACCCTAAAGCCTAAACCCAAAACAGGTCCAGGTTTCGCGGTTTCGACTCTTGACTCCCCCGAGATCCTTGGCGCTTTCTTGCGCCAGGACTTGCGCAATCGCGAAGCCCGGGACCCGAAAGCGCCACAGCCCCTGAAAGGCCTGAAACTTACACAAACACAGCAAAAACCTTATAACGCTAAAGCCCTGAACTGAAAAAGAAAGCTCATAAGTAATGACGCCGTAAAGCCCGAACAAACCCTAGAAGCCCTCTAGACTACACAAATTAAACCTCGTAGGGCTCGCGCAACAGGTGCTAACACTAAATTCCAAAACTTTGTGGCGCCTCGAGGCGTTTGATCATGAAGTCGACCGGGTCTTCCGGTCGGCTGGCCACCATGTCCTGACGGTTTAAGGTTTAGGGTTTGGGGCACCTACATGTGAGAAGGTAGGCTCGGAGTCTAGGGTTTAGTTTGAATTTGGCCGATGATTTTACAGCGTGGTGACACCCTCCCCCATGTAGGAGCTCTGGGTACTAGGCGGCTGAATGTGGGATGGTGGTGCTTAGCTTCGGGTTTAGAGGTTCAACCTGTGTAGGACCTCCGAGCTTGGCTTGAAAGACGGTGCTATCTCAGGGTCTCGGGTTTAGGGTTTCGCTCGCGCTCCGAAACGGGTTTAATATAGGGGCCTTCATAATCAGAATTGGCTATTGGGGGGTCTATTATGCTATAATATAGTAAGGAACCCCCAAAAACACTATTCCAATTATTAAGGCCCCTACATTATAACACTTTCTTGCAACGGACTTGTCAGATCTCGACCGGACTGATAGCCCACAGCAGTGACTTCAGATCATGCTCTGCTCAAACCTGGTCTGCATGTTTTATAACCCTAAACCCTAAACCCTAAAGCCTACATTAGGGTTTAGGGTTTGGGAAAGGGTCCACGATACTGCCAGCTACGACTGTAGAGCGGCGGCCACAGACCGACCTTGTTCCTTGGCAAAGGGGCTTCAGGTTTCGCAACCGGGGCGCGTGATACTATATACATATATGTATGTATGTATGTATGTATGTATGTATGTATATATATATATATATGTGTGTGTGTGTATATGCATACACATCTACATATTTGAAATTGGACAGGCTAGTTTAACAGTAACTGATACGGTAGCCTCAGCTCACTGGTAGGCGGGGGTTGGCTTAGCCCAGGGCTGAAGCCTGAAGCGCCTCGCGTAGTAGCAGCTGGCTGTGCCCACAAAACATAAGCTTTCGAACTCTTTTGCAAAATCGGTCCTGTGAGCCCTAAGGCCTGGCAATCAGACTCCACCACAACCAGCCATAGAACTTCATGTAGAATGATCCCCAAAGACACGCGGCATGCGGCATGACATGTTTGGAAGCTGTCCTGCAGCAATTCTTGCATCTGCCGCAAGACGTCGTGGTTGTCCAAGTACGTGCGCATCCTCGGGCTTACAAAATGCACAGCACTACTCCATACAATTCCCTGGATGTCCCTGAGATAACCCTAAAACTGTTCATATAGGGACCTGCATAATCGAAGGCATACACCCGACAACCCGCGTTCCAACTACCTAGGCCCCCATGTTTTGTTTGAGGGGCGTTTGATGGCTGCTGAAAAGTGAGATGCCTGCCCCAACCTCGGAAACCTGATCTTGAGGATGCAGTTTTCGGCTTTAGGGTTTAGGGGTTTAGGGTTTAGGGGTTTAGGGTTATAGGGTTTAGGGTTTGGGGATTGCAGCAGGTTTGGGAGGCCAAGGCTTGCGGAAAATCACGCCGAGCCTTTCTTGCTGGTATCGTAACTTAATCTAAGTAGCTAGGAAGGCTATGGTGTGCAAAAAGTGTTTATAGTGCAGGGTTGTAAAAACCATTTAGTACCGTGGCCTTCATATCTGGACTGGGGAGCTATTGATAGTTTCATAGCGTGTTTGTGTGTTTTCTGGTGGTTCTACAGGGTGGTATGATAGAGGTCTTCATGATTTGACTAGGGCTTTCAGGTATCTTACAGTTTGAGAAAAGCGACATAAAGGGGACGCCGTTACCAACGATTCGGAGCCTGCATTACGGTCAGCTACGAGTCTCTGAGGCACCTCTAGTCTAGTTCAAAAACGGGAAGATTACAATCCGGAAACGTGTCGTATGGGGGTCTCAGCTGAAACTATCCCTAAGGTCTGCTACTCTAGTTATAGCATGATAGACCCCAAAACCCTCCTCTCATCATAAAGGCCCACTCGGCGAAACCCGAAACCTGCACACCACGCTTTCAATGAAAAAAGGACTTTCTCAAAGAGTGCGCACTAAGACCTGCAGCAACGAGATGCATGTGCCTGCTCATCATGCTCCCGAAGCCACGAACCATTTCTGTTGACGGATACTGGCGGTTTGTAGGGAATGGGGTCATGGATCGGTGTTATCATCCTCGTGATTAACGCGCATTCCCTCGTTCTGTACTAGGCCCGTGAAATTTGGGTTCTGAAGTGCACAAACCCATGAAGTGATGAGGCCTGAGCGAAAGGCCGAGTCGAAAGCATCGTCCCTTTTCAGGCAAGCCTTTCAATGTCGAGCCGGCTACCGAATTACTGCACTGGTCATGCTCAGATATATGTGTATTACATGCCAGTGGGATCTGCGCCAAACTTCCAATTCCAGTGGAAGATCACCCCAGTTGACAGGATGGACATGTAGATGACACAAAGCATGACGCCCCTGGCATATGGCATGACCCAATGGCCTTCCTTGAATGCACTGCACCAGCCAGCCAGCACCGCTATCATGGAGAAAGTAAGAGCGAAACCAGCCACTGGCAAGGCCCGTCCCCTCGACACAAAGGTGGGATCACAATCGAAGACCAGAGTGTAGACGAGCCCCAAGAGAAATGCAACCAGAATCAGGTGATGCATTCGCTCTCCCTGCTGCACGGCAAAGCCATATTCGGCTTGCCAAGCGTACAATCTCAAAATGCAAGCTACCAAGAAAAGACCCCTCCATGTTTTGAAGGCCCTCCGTGACGTCTGGCAAGTGGCACGAGCCCGCCACTCCTCTAAAACTGCCGGTGCATAGTCCATCAGAAGCACAACGTACCCAAACAGAAGGGCCATGGTGGCAGCGCAAGATATGGACCCTGTTGCCAGCTCGATCCCATCACTGTAGATAAACCCTTGCCCCCAAGCCTGCGCAGCCATGCAAAGAGGAAAGAACCTTTTTGATGCGAATTTTTCCACACCTGGCCAGCATCTGGCAAGCTTTGATATGAACACGCACATGCACTCCTGTGTATGCTGCGCCTGCGGACTGTAGCTGAAGCAGGCCCACATGAATGACGCCACCATAATGCTCAAAGAGTCGCGGCTGCTGCGCTGTAGCTTGACTAGCCTCATCCACCAGGCAAGTACCAAAATGCTGTGCAAGGTGGAAGCTGCAACAAAAACAACGGGTACCCAGAACCGCTTTACTGCTTCTTGGTCTGCACCAATAACCTCATTTCTGTCATGCTCTTCTGCAAAGTCCATGACCTGGATCGGAGCCAATTGGCCTGAACTTGCTGGCTCAGAAGGATCTGTGAGTCCGAGTTCCAACCCGTGGATACTCACACTATCCGTCCGGGTGATATCATCATCAACATCCGCAGGTTGACGGCCGTATGTCGAAGCGGGGTGTTTGCCGGAGGGGTATGCAGCGACGAACAGATCAGATCGTAGGGGAAGTTTCTGTACACGCAAGCATGGTTGTTGAGGTAGTGCTCGGCCCGAATTCAGGGCATGCGATGTCACTGCCGTTTCAATCCTGCTGTAAATCTCAGCCAACGATAAGTAATGACCGATGCACCTAGCAAACGTTCGCATGAGTGTGCTGCAGCCAGCTGGATTAGGAATTTCTTCGGCAGGATATCCACAGGCTGACGCCCAAATGGTGACTAGGGCTTTGCACGAAGCTGATCTGTTTCCAGGCTTCACAAGCTTGTCAGCACTTTCCTTTGGAACTCCATGGCAACAGTTCATGAGGCAAAATATCACTGCATCATTGCTAGCCTTGCTATTCACAAGTTTCTCGATCAAGATTTTCACCGGGAACTGACCACCAGCTTCTTTCTCTCCATCCCTGAATACGAGAACTGCCTCGCCGTCTATGACCTTGCAATGGCCGTTGAAATTGAAAAACAGAAAATCATGGTCCTCAGTGATCTGCTCGCAGAAGATGCGGAGGTATTGCTCGAACTTGTTACGGTCAGCATCAATGCACTGAAGACACTCAAAATGAATTCGTTGCAGCCCTTCGCAACACCATGTAGTATCTGCCACGGGATATACCAAGGGCTCCTCGGGATAGTTTTTGATCCCGACGGATAACCCTAGACGCTTGCACATGTCCGAAAGCAGCGGCCGAACATGCAGCAGCGTCAGATAGCCCTACTGATTAGCGGTTGTTCGCTACTGTACGGAGCATGTGCTGGGCCAATAAAGGGCGGCAACGTTCAGCCGTGCTACACACTTGTGTACTTCTGGGCGGGCGATGCAAAGCAAGATATGTGTGGTCATGGCATGCAGCTCACAGGCCCTCCCGCCTACTGAGGTGCATGAGGAAGATGTCACGCACTTGCTGTGTCTAGGCGTGTGTATGGGTGTATGTATAATACATATATATATATATATATGAAAAAACTCAGAAACATGAGTATGGCATATGCAACGCCAGTGAGCAGCATGCGACTGTAGCCGATGATGCTCTGCCTGCCTTCTCGGCGCCAGTACACCTCTCTTCGAAACAATTAAACTTAAACCAAAGACTGGACATGTAGCGGCCTCAATAGTTAGAACTTGAATAGACAGGGACTATACGGGGGTACTACTAGCAATTCTTCCGCTCCCTATAGTATCCTTTCATGCCAGGCATCATCAATGCTGTCTGCAGCTTCCGGGAGGGCGTGCTTGTGGCGCCAACGGGGACTCCGGCCGCTTGTTCCTTTGGCGCCTGCGTTTGATGCTTTCGGGGTGCGCAGGCATCCATTCATTTAGGTCACCTTAGCCTTAAAGTCAGAAAGAGATTCGTCAACCTATGGTGAAGTTGGACGGTTTTGGAGCTGGAACGACAAGTAGGATGAAGCACGCGGACTCTTATTTCAATCCGAATGATCTGCACAAGTCTCCTTGGTAAGAGTTCAGGAGTTCCTGTGCATGGGGACTGCAGGCTGCAGTTTTGCGGGAGGGAAGGGCCCGGGTCTCATTTCAGCTTTCCCCTTCAGAAGGTGGTAGACATGCCTGGCAACTAGTCGCCTAAGTGCTACAAGAAGGATGGCAAAACTCAGAGAAGCCCAAGATCAGACATGGAAGCGCCATGATGTAGGCGCCTGAATCGTCAGAGTTTTGTAGGAGTTCCTGATTGTAATTACTGTATAATAGAACCCCAAACCCAATTCTAATTATCAAGGCCTCTATATTACATGTTGCGGCCATGCCAACCCTCGCCGTCCGAATACAAAGCCGACCAAGCCGCACACGCTGCCTTTTTATACTATACTCCAATATACCCCACAACCCTATTGCAATTATTAAGGCCCCTAGATAAAACCCTGATAAAATGTAGAACCCAATAAACCCTATACCTCTTTTAGATGACTTTGGAGAAAGCCCAATTCCAACAGTTAAGGTTTTTATATTCAGATTATCAAGATGCTGCACTATACAACCCTTGGAAAATCCCACAAGCTTCTCGAAGGATCACCCAAACCTCTTTTCTAATTCTAGACCCTATAGTAAAACTCTTTAGAACCCTTCTAGGAGCATTATCACTACGGTGCCTACAATCAAACTATCAGTACTGTTAGTATTAGCATAAAAAATTTCCTAATATGAACAGTGTTAGTATTACTACTATTATTACTATCAGTACTAGTAGTGGTCGTCGTCGTC